GCCTGTGCAAGTGCGTGTGGGATAGAGTAACCTTGAATGAGAATTCTACGAAGTGAGATATCTATCTAGCTATAAAATAATTTGGTTGAAAAAACTTACACAGAAGAGTTCTTTTTTTAGTGTGTGTGTGTATGTGTGCTCGCGCGCGAAATATGTCACGGTAAAATACACAGACTGTAGCCCAAATTTACGTTCTCGTAATAAAATAAAACAATATTAATAAAAGTACATGAAATGAAAGAAAATAATATATGGAATGTTTGAGGATATATATATATATATATATATATATATATATATATATATATATATATATATGTATATATATATATATATATCCGCTCAAACATTCCATATATTATTTTATATATTATATATATTACAGACTTTTTTTTCCTCTGATGAACATTATCAAGGCAAATGTGAATATTTTATTTTGTAATAAGTATTTATAAATAGAAGGAAAATATCGTTAAGCTTGCTAATTTTTAAATTTGCAGATCAGGTCCGCAGTAGACGAAACGCGTAGGCTTAAACTATATAGAATTTTCCTGTTACCTTTTTTCTTTATTCATATAGTCTTTTTCACAGCTTAATTCTGAGAAATATATATATATATATATATATATATATATATATATATATACGCATAAACACACAAACATATATATGCATAAATATATATATATATATATATATATATTCACACGCATAAACATATATATACGAATAAACGCACACGCCCATCTATACACACGCATGAATAATAATAATAATAATAATAATATATACACAAACACACGCATAAACATATATACTTATAAACATAAAACTCACATTTACGCATAAACATATGTATATATATTTATACGCATAACTATATATATATATATATATATATATATATATATATATATATATATATATATATATATATATATATACGAATAGACATACATCTATATGTCTTAAAACAAAGGGCTGTCTGTATGTGTCTGTGTTTCTGTCTGTCTATGTGTTACCTTTTCAATCCGTTAGCGAAACCCGCCGGCTAAAACTACATACTGTTTATATATTGTTTTTTCTACAGTTTAATATTGAGAATTTTTATATATATATATATATATATATATATATATATATATATATATATATATATATATATATATATATATATTATTTTTTATGGGTACAAAATTTTATTATGGAAATAAAAACGGCAAGACGAGCTTTACCATTCATGATTAAAAAAAAAAAAATTGACCAGCCGACCCGTTTCGCCTTCACTCAACAAAGTTGAAATCGAGGGCAGACTAAATATTACAATATAAAATATGAGAAGCATGTGATGAAATAAAGATAGAATGATCAGATGGAAATAATGTCAAGCCTTAACAGGCATTCCCTCTGTTTACAAAGGGAGGGCTGCCTGGACCTGACATAGATCATTTCCAATACCTTTAAATGTAACACAGAATGAGCATGATTAAGGATGGAAAATCAGTCCATGCTGAAATTGGTGGCCTTGGATTGTTTATAAGGTGCTCAGCAATGACGGAACCGTATGTGTTCCTGACTTTGTCATCAGATTGGAACGTACCTTTCTTAATTTTTCCCGGTACGTGCTGATTTATCCGACAATTATTTTAATATATTTTCCATTTATACGTTACTTTTATAGATACACATATTTAAGTAAAATCTCTGTTCATAATAAACAGTATTAACAAGTTTTACCTACCTGAATGTACAAGAACTTTCGTAGAAAATATGTCCTCCTTTCTCGGATACATACATACATACATATATATATATATATATATATATATATATATATATATATATATATATATATATATATTCTATCACCTGCACATCCATGCTTATAACATCTAGTATTCCCAAGCGGTCACCTATTAGTTACTGACCCTATGTCGACTTGCTTCACTTCGTAGTTCGTACGAGAATCGGTGTTTCAACGAAATATGGCTGTAAGCGTAGATCTGTTAAAGCTCAGTCATAGGAGAAATCAGCTCTGATTATTGAGATTTTTGGCGGTACAACCATAACTCGTGATATCCTCTGCATAGGGTGAATCAGTAAGTTGAAACAGTTTAAGCTAATTTTCATTGTATAATATTGGATCTATTTATCTAATAGAAAAGCGTTGGGTAAAGTGTATTGACAACAAACGTTGACTGATTGTTTTGTTTTACGGCTTATCAACCAGGTTATTTGTATTTAAAAAAGATTCTTGGAGATAGTAATGATTTACTGATACAAGTCTAATTAGACTATATGGGTACTGACCTAGCTCGAGGTTACATTCGGTGATCCTGCGATAACCGGTGTTTCTCTGTGATACGGCCTTAATTACGGTGACTTGTTTGTTTAATGAATGTAAAAGTACAAAAATTGTTTAAAAAATAATCCGTTATTTTTTTTCTACGATGGACCTAGTCAATTTAAGTAGTGTCCATTTAACAATATCTGTATAAAAGAAACCATATAAAGGGTGTTCTAATAACTTGGACCGATTTTAAACGTAATTCACATTTAAAATTATTCCAAGATATTGGAACACCCTTTATTACAGATATAGTATTTGATGGCATTTCCCGGTTCTTGGATGCGAAGTTGTGATAACTAGTTGGCTAATGTTTACCCAGTCGGCAACTATTACATACGTGCAAATTAGTGGTGCCAAACCCCTTTGAGATGGAAATACCGCTAATATCTTCACCTTCTCTTCTCTTTAATTCTTAATTTCCTTTTTTTTTTTTAACAGTGCTGTTCACTCTGTGCAAGGCCTGAAAGTCACTCGACATAGAGGGCTACAGAATAAGCGGCACAGTTATGTATATGGGGAAGATAATGATTAAATCTAGCCTTGAATAAATTAAGATTGTAGTGATCGGGGAAGCATCCTCTTGGGAGTCGGTTGCATAAAGCAGTGATTCGTGGGAAGAAACTGCTCGAGTGGAACTTAGGTCTTACCAATGGAATACAAACAGAATATGGTTCGCTACAATGGGCGTGGCATGGCGGATCTTAGCATTGAAGGCTGGAACTAGTGGAAAAAAGGAATGTAGTTCGTCTGGACACTTTCCATGGAAATAGCGATAAAGCAGCGAGAGGCTTGCGACGTTTTGTCTTTGAGAAACGGGTTGTAGAATGTAAATTAATTTGTGCGTCTCATACAAGACAGGTCTTAATAAATGAGCAGGTTGGAATTTTTCTCAATAATCAATAAACTGGGTTCCTTAATAATGGGGGGGAGTAAGAAAAACATTTAACAATAAAGTTTATCAAAGAATTGAACGAAGTAATTCCGTAAAAAATAAAGGAAAATGAAACACTAAAAAAAAAAAACATCTTTTAACATAAAAACGTCCAAGTAAAAACTTTAATCGAATATAATAATAACTACTTGAGCCGTGAGGCGGGTATTTCTGACATTGTTAAATGGTGGAGGTTTTATTAAACTGAGGAGCTCACAGAAAATTTCCTTTCAAAAAATAATTGCCCAAGATATATGTTCAATTTGAGAAAAATCAGATATAATTTTTTTTTTTTTGGCATTATTTAAGAACGGATTGATATGCTTTGAAATTGGGGTCTAAATTCCATTTTTTCTGATCTATCTTTACAGCAAGACAAATATATCAACAACTATCTTTATCTTTGTATATATTAGCCAAATAAATGGCCAAAGGTAAGAAAAAAGTTGTCGAAGTTCTCTTACCTTCAAAATATGAGTATAAGCAACATTTTCATCAAGACATCTATTTTCTCAAGTACTTTTTGTCATTGTACGAAGTTCACTTTAATTTCCGACATTTGGCATAGCTACATAGAGCTGACCAGGAGAGAAACATATGAATTTCTTAATATTAATAAAGATAATAATGACATTAATGATGACAATGACAATAATAATGATGACATTAATGATAATGATAATATAAATAATGATGATAACACTATTAATGAAAACGATATTATTGATGATGATATTAAAGATAATAATGATAATATTAATGATAATATTAATAATATTATTTATAATGATAATATTATTAATAATATTATTATTAATAACGATATTATTAATAATAATATTAATGATATTTTAAGGGTCGACAAATAGGTAAATTCCGAATATTTTTTCAGAATGTGCACCTTAAGATGTTTGTCGAAATTCCCGTCGTCTGTAATAAAATATTAGTGACATTAATAATAATCTTAATAATATTATTAATAATATCATTAATAATGAGATTAATAATATTATCATTAATGACGGTAATAATATTATTAATAATAACGGTAATAATATTATTAATAATGACAGTAATAATTTTAGTAATAATGAGATTAATAATATTATTATTAATGACGGTAATAATATTATTAATAATAACGGTAATAATATCATTAATAATGATGGTAATAATATTATTAATAATGATGGGAATAGTAATACATTCAGTAAAATTAATATTTTGTCAATTGTTTAAATCCTTCGATATTGTTTTAAGGACATCTATATAAACAGATTATTTTGACTTATTTAGATAATTCCATGAACCATTTTGACCAATTTCTAATAAAGTGAAATAGCGGACAGCAACATTAATTATGGGCGCTGTAGGCTTTCTAACTTATGACTGAATTTTGACAAGGCATATATATATATATATATATATATATATATATATATATATACACATACACACACACACATATATATATATATATTTCTGTATAAACACGATGAAAATAAATTATCAACTGAAATATTGCTTGCATATAGGGATTCTTAAAATTTGAATAAAAATAAATAACACAGAAGAAAACGCCATTAGTTAGTAATCTAGTGATTTTCCAAGCGTAGCTTAGATGTGGCACAAGGCCGAAAGTATGGGGCACTCAGTGAGGATCGAACTCACTATGCAGTCGTAATTGTTCTAGCGAGACAAAGCCATTACACTGGTTTACGGCCACATAACATAGAAATAGCGATTCTCGTACGATCCCCGGAGTTAACCAACTTCGAGACTGGTCAGTACCTAGATAGGTGACCACTTGGGAATACCAGGTGCTGTCAGCTTGGATGTGCAGGTGGTGTAATGGATAATGGCTCAGAATTGTTAATCGGCGCCGAGTTCCAATTCCCATTGTGGTTATTGTATTCACTTACGTACAAATACCATTGGGTAAGGCATGAGTCCACCCCTTCTGCCCCAGCTATGGGTTAATTAATAAGTAATTGTATCACTAAAATCATTATTATCTCAAAAATAATGTTTAGCAAGCTTGTATCGCCAGATCAATTACGAGTGAACAGTGATCTTCACTGGGTGCTTCACACATTTGGCCTTGTGCCACATCTAATCTACGCCTAGAAAATGGGCACCTCGACGTGGTGTAATGGTTAGCAAGCTCGTCTCGCTAGAACTAGTTACAACTAAGCAGTGCGTTCGATCCTGATTGGGTGCTTCATATTTTCGTCCTTGTGCCACATCTAAGCTCCGCTTAGAATATCAACATTATTAACTAAAAAAAAAAAAAAACTTGCAAAGGGTTGATAAGCTATAAAAAAAACGAATCAATGAATCATAGATCTTTTAAAAATGTTCATTGTTCACCGTTCCTTCCTCCGACAGAAATATTGTGCATGTAAGGACAAGTTAGGACTTCGTGGAAAAATTGCGGTGTTTTGATTACTGTAATGAGAATGTGATGCTTTGTTCAATGGATTATTCTCAAATGCTTGGGTCAGTGATTGTGGCTAGCTATGTTAAACATAGCACAGAAGATGGTCAGCTTTTCCCATACCCACTTTTGGTAACGTGTCGCATTTACTGAAGATATATACCGTAATAAATATTATTACGTGCAAGCAAGACAGGTTATTTTTTATACTGATGTAAAGTGATTTAGCTTTACGCGAATTTATGAAAGAATAGGCTATTTTGCCGGCTCCGGTAAAATAAACACAAAGGGTATTTTGCCGCTAAATAAAAATAGCGTTATATATATATATATATATATATATATATATATATATATATATATAATTTATAATTTTTTAAAAAATATGATTCCTTCTGCTACATAAGAGTTCTCATGGTTTCAAAAAAAACGAGAGTCGAAACCATCAATATTATTATTAAAATTAAGTTGAATCAAGGTGTTGGGTCCTGTTTTTCCTGCTTATGTATGGAGCAATTGTCTTAAAAAAAAAAAACAAAAATACTAAGGAACTCCGAATTATTTACCTGACGTGTTCCTTCATATTTTTCATAATTGCACGCACACACACACACACACACACACACACACACACACACACACACACACACATATATATATATATATATATATATATAAGTAGTACAAAATGTTGTTCATTAGTACAAGTGTTTATACAAAGATATGCGTTGTTATCCATTACCGTAATTTTTACATTATGCTTTTAAATGCAAAACGTTGTCAATGTGCTGAGCGTTCATTAAAATGTACTAATGGGCAACATATAATTTTGTACTACTTGCTACCCTGAAGATGATCTTGGAAGACGATCGAAAGTCCTTGGAAAATAAAAATAAAAGAAATTTAAACAGCTACAGCACATTTATCTCATCCTTTAATATCAATACACGGAAGGGTATTCGTGAGTATGAACGGATTTTATTAAAAATTAGCAGACATAATGTCTGTAATTAATTCAATCAGACATGCCTAAAAGAGAATTTGCTGCCTAAACACACAGACACAGCACACACGCACACACACACACACACACACACACACACACACACATATATATATATATATATATATATATATATATATATATATATATATATATATATATATATAATAAATAAATCTTGATGAGCCAGGTACTACCTATTTAGGTTTCACCACGGGGATTCCATGGTGAAACCTATTAGGTGGTATCTGGCTTTATTAGGATTTATTATTATATATATATATATATATATATATATATATATATATATATATATATATATAATAATAAATCCTAATGATCCAAACACTATTTATTTAGGTTTCACCGCATAGGATCCCATGTGGTGAAACCTGGCTAGGTAGTTCTTGGCTCATTAAAATTTATTTATTTTACTTTTGCTCTAGTTAGTGTATTGAGAACTTTTCGTTTTAATTTGTTACTTGCTGTTTTTTTTCTTTGTACCAGAGATTTAAGGTACTGGACGATTTTTTGCCCTGTTCTGAGTTTTTTGCTGCCTTCTTTTTCTCCCATTTTTCCACGGATGCCAATTTATTTGAAAATTCTGCTATCCAGGTTTTTTCACCCACCGAGTTTGAATAGATTTACATTTATATATATATATATATATATATATATATATATATATATATATATATATATATATATATATATTTAAAATATTCATATAGCCATGGGACTCAGTGTTGGAGATACTTTCAATTCATTTGCTTAACTAGAAGAAGAACTGAAAAGTTATCAATTCGCTAAATATGTACAGTTGTTTGAAAAGAGACAACAGAATAATTGCTTCAGGTCAAATATGTTTATGGAGCCTTGAAATCGTCAGCGCATTGGTTGTGCGAGCCGTGTAGGCAGGTCTTGAACAACATGGATACTGTGGTCTGCGACTGTGGTCTTCAGTGAGTACACCTAAAGATTATTGGCAATAGAACCATTACCCAAGGGCAAGTTTGGGTTTTGCAGAGACTGTTATGCCTGAAGTGCTTAAATTATTCAGAGACTTCTGTATTTCTTTTACTAATTGATCATGAATAAATTATTTTAAGTTGTGTCTTAAAATTGATGATGGAAAATATTTTAAATTGTCTTACCAATTGATGATGAAAATAAATAAACTTCTGTGTTAAATCTGTGTGTTGTTATTTTTAATATTACCTGCCTTCATAATAATAAAAATATTTACCGGCAAAATAAGTTGGGGGTCTATTTTATCGGAATTGGTAAAATAAACTTTGTCTCTTGTACCAGTAGGGCCGGTTGGTTTTCACTTATTTTAGAAAATGTCAATTAAAAAAATCAAAATTGTCGAGAAAATTGTTAAGTTCATAGTCTAGGTAGCATGGATGAAATTGATATTTATTACAGAAATATGGCACATGGCCGAAAAGGGGATTGGGAAAAGGACAGTCTTCTTCTCTCTTAACTATAACTTAGCTAGCCGCAAACACTGACCCAATCGTACGAACAATATTCCTTACACCAAAACAACACATTCATACGTACCTTTCTTACTACAACCATTACAATACCTCATTGTCTCTATGAAAATACTAACTAGTCCCCATATTTACAATTCATTGTCTGTCGGGGGAGGGGAATAAAACAACAATTCTAAAAAACTAGTCCCAATGTGTATTTACAATATGAATACAAAAAACTATTTACAAGAAACTAAAGAAAATAAGATTAGTAATAAAACCCCCCACAATCACTAAATGTGGCAGAAACATCGGTCTACTGGCCGAAATCAATGCGGGACTACAATAGTATAAAACATAGATGAAAGTTCATCAGAACAATTTCCCTGAAAGTATTTATAGAAAATGCATAGGAAATCTACATTACGGCTGTGGTAAAGTGACTGAAGCTGAGATGCCAGATCAGAACCAATGACATTGCGGATTCTTCTTTGTATTTTATCAAGAATTTCTAAAGGTATAGCAGGAGCACCCGACCATAGCGAAAGCAATTTATGCTGAAAAATACATTTCTTGCTTAAAAAATAATTGATCCGTTTTTACTATTAGTCTCCAGAATTATTGATTTATGAAGTGACTGTAAAATTCACCATTGTTCGATATTTACATCATTTAAATGCGGACTATTGTCCTCATTTTTGTTGCTTCATCACGACGTTTTGCCTTCCGGCTTTCCTCAGGTTTATTTCCACCCGGGTAACCTACATGATCTTGCGGAATTAACCCTTTGAGATTACCTGTAAGTTACCTAAAGGGAAATGCACCTGATGAAGGCAGGAGAGCACAACGTCGAAAGGGTGTAACAGCAACAACAACAAAGATGAGGGCAATATCTCGCCAAGAGAAAGGAAAAAAAAGTATAGGTCGATCAATGTATTTTTAGAGGATAACACTTTTAAGGCGAGTAGTCTTTGTAAGTAAAGTGCTCATATAGAGCATTAACAGTAAGCAAATATGAAAAGATATTCTAACTTAGCTTCCCGACTCTGAGTTTCACAGAACTGATGTCCGCTAGAATTCGGGAAATTAAGTCTGGACATGTTAACATATTTGTTTACTATTAGTGTATACAGGAGTCCTTGATTACGACAGACTTCTGTTCCTACGATGCGTCGTAACACGTTTTTTTTCCGTGTAAGACGGAACGTACCGCTCATTTTACGTGAATTAGCACTTTCGTCACTGACCTATGCTAATGTAATACTAAAGTAATAATGTAGGACACAACACATCTCTATGACTTACGTTGACTTAGGACTAAAATACACATGGAAGACATAGATATAATACACGTAATAAAATTAAAATAATACATACGATGAAATGAGATTGTTTTAAGCTGATACTATATTTATAGCGAGTGGGACAACGTATTTTTCCACCGCGTAATGTATTCATCCGCCATACCGTTTGCGTCGTATGTATGAGGCATAATTCAAAACAAAATTAATAGTCATTTTATCGTAACCACGAATCGCCGTAGGTCGAGATTCTCGTAACCTGGGGATTTGCTGTATGGAGCATGCGCAAGCTCATGACGTGTTATAAGATCACTACAAAAGTTAAAATTTTGTTTCAACACTGCTGGTCTTATCAAGTGATGTTGAATGGAAAATAAACGATTTGTATATATATATATATATATATATATATATATATATATATATATATATATATATATATAATTTAAATAAAAAACAGACCACTTTAAGGTTCCATGTAATAAATTATTTCACCACAGCCCTTTTAAAAAGGACTGCGGATCATCAGACTTTACTTTCAAACAAAAATGAAAAGAAAATTTACACATTTTTGACGGGCCGTATTAAACATATGTAAATTAACGAAG